GATTGTTGTTGGGGTCAATGTGCTGACTCTGTAAACCGCTTAGAGAGGGCTGAAAGCCCTATGAAGCGGGATATAAGCCTAACTATTGCTAAATAAAACTGAGCAGCCACGCCAACCCCACCACAACCCCATCTATTTTTGTGTGTGTGTGTGTTCATTGCACATTGCTTTGGTGGGTCTGTCCACACTGCCATCTTGACTGTTTGGCCACAGCCTGCGGACAGCCTACTGAGCAAACGAAAGCTTGAACCCAGCTGGTATCTTACTTTTGAGGCCAAAAATTACTTACCCGGTCAAAGGCAGTGACGCTTGTAACCACAAGGAATGCAGGAAAAAATAAGATCTCACAAGCTGCTTTCTGCCATGTTGTGGGTCTCCCGCTTGGCAACTCAAGACCTACTGGACTGCCACTACCTTGACCCCCAGCTAGCGGGGACAAGAGCTGCAAGGTTGGACAAGGGGCGCTAAATGTAACCTGGATTCTTGTCTATTTTAGCCAGAGCCCTACACGGGCAACATTCCTGGAGGTCTGGGAACCAGCAGGACCATCACAGTGCGAGGCTTTATTCTGAAGGACGCTAAAAGGTTTCGGATCTCTCACTCATTTTTTTTTTTGCAGGGCTGATTTGGATTTGGCACAGCAAAATGTCAGCGTTAGGGCCTGTTGCAGATCTTTCCTGGTTGATCTCCTTTCTCTGACTCTCCCATCTCCTCTGCATATCCGCAGGGTCAGCCCAGAGGACAAGGAGGTTAAGGGGAGTGGAAGCAATATTCCACATGTAGTCTTTGGAACTCACTTCCACAAGAAGAAGCGTGGACAGTTAGCTGTAGGCAGAGTTCCCCAAAAGAGGACGTCTGAAATGTCATGAAAGGATTGTCGAATTGTTTAGGGAACTCTAGCTAAGGAGGTGGCTGTAAAGAATGAGTAGGACCGGAATAGTCCATTAAGCAAGATCAGCTGTTCGTCATTAGAAGACTGGAGCTGAATATAGCAATAGCAATAGCAGTTAGACTTATATACCGCTTCATAGGGCTTTCAGCCCTCTCTAAGCGGTTTACAGAGTCAGCATATTGCCCCCAACAACAATCCGGGTCCTCAAAAAGAATATGTATTCTTTTTTCATATGTCTCATTTATTGCTCACAAATGTTGGCTTGATTGTGGTAGAACGTGAATGCAATGAATGAATACCTAAAATGATAAAACATTCAGCAACAGTCTCCCAATAGATAATATTTACAAAGAGGAAGAAGAGCTGTTTTTTTTTCCTTTTACTCCTCCCGCAAGGAGTGATCTGTCAGACTGCTATTGGATTAAGGGCGGGGGCAATCAGATTTCCTTTTATTTACTCCAAGATCTAGTCTTCAACGCCTGCTTTCTTTTTCTTTTTCCAAGCTTTGAAATCAATTTAAAGGCTGGCCAGAATATTGCTCTGCACCTTAATTCACGCATGAAACCAAGGAGATATGTGGTGCGCAACACTTGTCTGAAAGGCAGCTGGGGAGATGAGGAAAATGATTTGCCCTTTAACCCTTTCCATTTCGGGCAATACTTTGAGGTGAGTTGAGCTATTCCAGCAGGAAGGGGTATCAACAGGGAGGAGGTCACAAAAGTCAAGATGGCAGCCACAGCTATTCAAGTAATGCTATCGCCCCTATTTTACCTGACTTGGGAGGACAGCCCTGGATCCCATCAAAGAGCTTCTTTTAGTTGGCCGACAAGCAGGCAGGCAGTGGGGAGGGGAGAGAAGACCCAGCAGATGCTTTCCAGGAGTGTAAGACTCCATCCCCCATAATTCCCTAGATAGCACTGCTTTTAGGAATTGCAATCTGAACCTCTGGTTGAGAAGAGTAGAATTGCCTCATCAGAAGGGCATTCAGAACCACGTGTCAACGTTTCGACTGATGAACCCAACAAAAGCAAGCACAGCCGAGCGGATACCATCTCTTAATTCAAAACTCTATTGAGTACTTCATTTCAGCAAAGATGGGGGCAAAACCAGATCTAACCATTTCCCACGCAAACCCACATAGTTAAAAGTTTAGATTCTCCTTCCCCCTGTTAGATCAGGTCACATTGTCCAAGGGAGTCTCCTGGTATTGTTGTGAGAAAGTCCTTTGGTTCTGATAAACTCCCGTTGAAGTGTCCTCGGTTCTCACAGATGGCTCCTTGATGTTTGGAGCCTGCAATCCATCTCCCTCTTCCTTCCCCACTGGTTCGTTGGCAAGCTGAGAAGCGATAATAGTTGTAACAGCAAAAGCCCAATTTCGAAGCTTGATGTCATGATTTTAGCTCTCTCCTGGAAAATTGTCCTTGTGTTGCCTTTGGGGTTTTTTGGGAGAGGGAGAAAACAGTGTGGCAGTGACAATCCCTCTCAATGAATCTCCACCCTTTATGAATTGGACATGTGTTTTGATTTTGATGCAAGCTGTGGATGGTGTGGGCGGCAGGCCCTCCTGCCTGGGGGATCAAAAGTGGTCCAGATATGCTGATTTGCCAGACTAATAACCTTCCTTTCTTCTTAGGTCTCGATCTGCTGTGACAAAGAAAAGTTCAAGGTTTATACCAGCGGCCGTCACCTGTTCAACTTTAACCATCGTTATGCCACTATTCAACGTATCCGCACTCTCGAGATCAAAGGAGATGTGACCATTTCCTATATCAAGTATTAAGCAATGTGGGGGAGACATCAGTAGCAGCACAGATCCTCCCCCTCTTTTCTCTCTGTCTGCCAGTACACTTCGAATTCTGCTGGAAATCTACAAGCTCCAGTAAATAAATCAGTCAATTAATCAATCAATCCGAGACTCAATAACAATATTAAGCAGCATTTTCAATAAAGCATCTTGATCAAGGAATGCAACATTATTTTTTCCACCTTCTGAATTTGATCTGTAGAAGATACAAAACATTTTTTTTCCAGTTATGTGGGAACAACGTTTCTTAAACTTGGCAGATTTAAGATGTGTGGATTTCAATCCCCAGAAATCCCACCCTCCTATTGGGTCCTGATCCATTTTATAGCTTTGTATAATCTACAGATTGCAGGGTGCATGGATTGAGAATNGTTTGTTCTGTTTTGACACTAACATTAAAAAACCACAGTATACAAGTGCAATCATGCTTTAAAATTTAACACATATTATGTTTCCCCCCTCCCCCTAGATCCCCACCTCCCTTCCCTCCCCCCGACTTCCCAGAGCCCATACATACATGGGCTCTGGGAATACTGACTTTCTCAACGTCTAGATAAGGTTTAAGTGATATGCAAGCAGTCCTTGTTTAGCGATAATACGGCCAGCAACTTAGCCATTAATGGGGTCAAAAACATGACTGTTTTTGAATGGACTTCAGCTTTTCTTTTCTTTGCAATACTGTGAGGGTTGTAAATGCCAGGGCTAGTTGCGAAGTAACTATTTCAACAGTGTCCTAACTGCTAACAGTCAGAAAATGAGGGCACCCTACTAAAACCTTTTAGTCCATGGGGAAAAAAATAGATATCAGTGGAATGAAGGACTCTCCCTTTTCGCATGCATTCATTTTAACCCTTGTGATCCCTTCTATGACTTTGCTTAATCTGCTCAGCTTTAGGGTGGGATGTGTTCCTGGCAAGACTAAACAGGTTTCTCCAGCAAAGAAAATGGAGGCTCCCAATTGAGGCTTGATCCTTTCAACTACCCTCTGACAGGTTCTGCTGAACGGAAGCCCCCTCTGCAAGTTCGAGCACAGAATCTCACCCCAATTTGTAAAGTTCATTAACTTTCATGGACACATCACCCTTCAATCTCTGACCATAGTGAGAGAACAAATAGTGGGGAACGTGGTAAGTATTTGAGATCAACCCTTGATTACTTTTTGGGAATAAATACTGAGTAGGTTCAATCCCCAAGCTGTCACTTTCTCTTTCTCCCCTCCAATCATTCTTCTCGTACATTTTTCTTAACCGTTAAGAATTGCAGCCCCTTTTGGTCCTCAGTTGTCTTGGCTTACAACTCTACAAGCAAGCAAAAATAAAATAAAAGTCCTACAGTGAGAGTAGGACCAGCAACTGCACAGGGAGGAGTTTTACACCAGGCCCTTGTCCTGCTCTCCCCTTTGCAACTGTCCATAAAGCAGTTTCTCAGCCTGGCAATTTTAAGATGTGGGACCTCGACTCCCGGAATGGCTTATGAAATCCCCCTACATCCTTATTAACAAACCCCATCAGCCAAGAAGTGTGCAATGGCTGAACAATGAGCCGAGGTGGCGCAGTGGTTAGAGTGCAGTATTGCAGGCCACTTTAGCTGACTGTGATCTGCAGTTCGGCGGTTCAAATCTCACCGGCTCAAGGT